AGCGATTTCATAGTTACCCGTTTTTGGGGTTAATTTTTATATCTAGACTAGCTTTTGCCCGTGACTCTGCTCCGTATATTCTTATATTTTAATAAAATTTTACGTTGACGACATTTTGATTGTAGGTCTTTTTTAGTTAAAAGCTGAACTTATCTAAAAACTAATTTGAAATCTGAAATTTTTAACGTTCAAGTTTTAAAATATACTCAACATCAAATAAACCGCACCTTCCGCGACGCGAACTTTAACGATTTTCTTCTGACACAATAATGGTGCCCAAACAATATTGGTATTATTTGAAAGCCCAATAAATATCCTTAAAGAAAAACACATTTAATTTTTTAATAAATGATTAACATATACCATAAATGTGACTTGAAAAAATACCTCACTTTGGGCCCACCTATGGGATCAATTAGACCAATTTTTATGGTCATAAAACCAAATAATGATCTCACGTGTCCTCTTTAACAGATGGATAGCGATTAATCCCAACTTAACAGTTTTATAGCCATAAAAATTGGCTTTAGCGTAACTAGTACCTATTTATTGAAGAAGTGACTCTGGAACCTTCTAAAGACACATTTTTGGGGTAAAAACCTTTCCTTTAATGAAATGAAGGTTAGAACTAGGCTTTTAAATGGTGCCAATATTGGTGGGAAGTGGGGATGCATACGTTTGAAAATGCTTATCGCGGGAGGTGCGATTTATTTGATGTCGAGTGTAGTTTGATCGGAGTATGCTACCTTTTAGGTTTTGAAATAGGGAATAAAAGTTTATAAAGGGCATTCATAATCTCCCAATTAAGCGATATGAAACTATTTTTAAGCTTTTAATAAAACTGGATGCAGGCCGCTACCAACCGGTCATTACGGAAATCATTGAGGGAGACCTATGTTCAGCAGTGGACGTCCTATGGCTGAAATAATGATGACGAATAAAACTTTATCATACGTCATTAAGACTCGGGCAAAGCCTCAATTAGAAGGTAGTCTACAATAAACACAAGCCTCAATCCTGTTACCTTAAAGGTTAATCTCGAAAACAATGTAGGGATTTTGTAACGGTTCTTCCGAGAAGGATTATTGAATTAACTAGCGGCCGCCCGCGACTTCGTACGCGTGGATCCCGTTTTACCCCCTTCATCTATCTTACGCGGTTTAGACTTTTTCATACAAATATTTTTTCCCGCTAACTTCCGTTCCCGTGGGAATTTTGCAATATTCTGTTGTAACTAAGCTTTAAGTTTGCTAAGGTACCTGCATGCCAAATTTCAAGCGTCTAACTTAAGCGGTTTAGATTTTTCATACAAAAGGATTTTCCCGCTAATTCCGTTCCCATGGGAATTTCGGGAATTCCTTTCTTAGTGCACCTCTACGGTACCTAAGCTACGTCCCTTCCAAATTTCAGTTGATATATCAGTCAGTCAGTCAGTCAGTTTCTCCTTTTATTTATTTAGATTTACCCACCGAGGTCGCCAGTGATGCATGGATCCATTCAACTGTGTATGTATGAAGTATTTATTTATGTAATTATTCCCCATTCGACCAAAGTTAACTGCTTGTCATGGTATTAACTGCCGCAGCAGTAAAAACAAGTCACAAATTACTTAATGAGGCAATAAATTTTATTGTTTGTCTATGAATTGGGGAATTGGCCAATTATATCCCTTAGTATTGAGACAATCAGTCTTTGAATTGAATTTGGTTAATACAAAGTTATAGTTCGGTTTGTCATCGTGGTGCAGTAATTAGTTTTAAAAAAAGTTAATAAAGTGAAGTATTGTTTAGATGGGACCTAGGACTTTCCAAATAGTTATTGGTGGTTTAAGAAGTAACAATTTTATGACGTAAAGATGCGTTAAAATAAGTAATTCACTTTGACTTATCAGGTGGAATTTCATAGCCAACGCTATACGTGCTGGGAATGGCGCCGAAACTGCGCAAGTGTTTATTTCGAAAGCACTCGATATTTTACAAGAGTACCGACTACAAAGCTTTTTATCCGAGAACCTACTTACCTAATGTTCTGATGTAGTGCTTCGAATCAGTAAACCTTTATTTGCTGTTGCTCGTCAAAGTGCTAGTCGCCGAATTACTACAAAGTCGCCTATTAACACGCTGCTTTAAGACTGAAGACGGAGCTGACTAATGTCGAAGTTAGGACAAAAAAATAACTCGCGGCTCCGTTTCATTAGGCTCCGGTGGACACCTTGGGGTTTTAATACGTAGGCCCTGTTCTTCTGGCGGTAAGAGTCCTACATAACCCAGTGGTCGTCCCTATAGCTATGCGCAAGTCATTTCCTGGGACAAACTTTAACTTTCCCCGGGACAAACTTGACCTTCACTGGTTGGGTTTTATTGACGGTCAAGCTGCAGATCCTGGCTACACAGGAGTTGCAGCGGTGGAAAAATGTATGTTTTTCGAACGTTTCCAGGATAGGCCCCTGTCGGCTCACAGCTGCCCGCGCGGCCAGACACGTACAGCTCCGTATTCTGTTTGTGAGCGCTAAGTGCACAAGTCTTAGGCTCTGCACTTGTTTTAGCATATTCTTGCCACAACTCCCAGTTTTGTGATGCGCCATTTTGAACGACAGATGTTTTGCATTTCTCTCCCAAGGATTCGCCACACTGTATGCCTTCTAAGGGCTGCGGTCAGATCAAAGTGAACGCAGCCCGCATCATGCATCTTGCATCGAGTGTGGAATCCTTCAATCTTCATAAGTTGGCGTTTTGGCTTCACTGTCATTAATGTCAATATCTGAAAATCTTGCAAACACAACACATGATTCAATAATATTATGCATTGTGAGATCACATCAGCTTAAATGAATATGTTTGTAGTAAGTCTATCAAAGAGTATTTGTAAAAGTTATTTATAAAATTCTTGATTTTATATCATGTCATTTATGTATTATTTTTGTATTATCTTACGCTCAAACTGAAAATTCTACTAATTGGGCTAAAACAGCTCACAACGCTTTGTGGTCTTTGTAAAACAACCTCCTAGCAAAATACCTGTAATGACTCTTAAGAAAACGTTCACGACGCGTTTTGAATAAGTGTTTTCAGTGAGAATTTATATTTCTTTAATTAACAGTTACTATCTATTATTAAAAAGGACACGCTAGCGTTGATAGCTGAGGACCGTTAGTCGCGCGGTTTTGGCGTCTTGCCCTGTGGGGCTAAAAGTCATAACTCTACTTGACGCCGTCGTCTCAAATCCTTTTCAGAGTACTGTCACAGTATAAGTCTGTTACCAGTAGAGCCTGTACATGCGTTAGTCTATTAGGTTGGCCGGTATTAATACACATAATCATCATCATCATCATCTCAGCCATAGGACGTCCACTGTTGAACATAGGCCTCCCCATGCTTTCCATGTTACCCGGTTGGTAGCGGCCTGCGTCCAGCGCTTTCCTGCTACCTTTATGATGTCGTCGGTCCAACTTGTGGGTGGACATCGTCCCACGCTGCGTTTTCCGGTACGCGGCCTCCACTCCAGAACCTTGCTGCCCCATCGGCCGTCATTTCTGCGTACTATGTGCCCTGCACATTGCCACTTCAGCTTGCTAATCCGTATTAATCGGTAATAATCGGTATTAATCGGTATTAATACACACTCACATAAGATAGAAAGACACGGGTCTTAACGCAACATTTAAGACTTGAGTTACATTATGTAACACGGCTTGATGTTTCGGCTTTTATAGCAGCTGTCGTCGTGGTCACAAGCAGACTGGCGCCTCACGGCGTCCTCCGTTCGGGCGACCTTGAAGACCCGTCTTTCTATTTTAGATGAAATTGAACGCGAACGTTTAAAATTTTACATACTCAATCATGTCTTTCTTCTTCATCATAAACAAAATAGATTCATCATCGCTGGCCGCAACAGCTTATTATGCTTGAAACTTTTGACTGGTTAATCCAGTGTTAGATCCGATGGAAGAGTATAATCGCCCGGCAAGCGAAAGGTCATGGGTTCGATTCCCGCCTTAGGCAGTTGGATGTTTTCAAGTTATATTTATAATTTAGATTCATCATCAAGTCATTTAGTTTCCATTGCAGGAGCACTACTATCTAATTTATCAGAGGCAAGCGGAGGATCATAAAGGCAGGGCTCTGGATGCAAGCCGCTACCAAACGGCCTATCTGGAAGTCATTGGGGGAGACCTATAACGTTTGTAACGTTATCGCGCGCGAACAACGCAACGTTAGTGTTATCACGCCATCTCGTCTAATGAATAGCGAATCACGCGGAAATTCTAGAAGTTTCTTTCTTCCCGGTGCGCGACGTGAACGGTCGATTTGAGCTAGCCTATGTGGAAATATGTAAAATCCCATGATTGTTTGCCACGAAAAGTTTGTTTAGTCGTAAGCTTAAGTTTCAATAAATGAATATTGTGAAACCCGACTAAATAGTTACATTACTGTCTGAACTTACTACATTTTTGTACACTATAGTAATGGACTTTGTACATTATCTTACCCCGTACACGGCCGTGAAGGTAATTCTTATTTATTTGAGGTTTATTTTTCTTTGGGTTCTTGAGAGGTGATATTTTTTCATTGCTAGGGCTCAACCACGGTACTGCTAAATCTTTTAAGGTGAGAAATTGTAAGATAATATTTTTCTTTATTCCTTTTTATTTCTAACAGTTTCTATAAAATTCACTTGTGAAAATATTTCTATTTCAGGTAGAACAAGACAGGTATGACAGGTATTTGACCGCAATGGCAACTGATGTTAAGTGAGATGCAGTCTGGGATGGTACATACCGGCTTTTAGTAAACACCATTAACATAATGATTTAATACGTATTCAATTATGTTTGTTTCTTATGAAAAATAATTATTTTATATCAGATATAAATTAAACATCAATCCATTATAGGTAAGTAATTGTTAATAAGTATATAGTACTTTATTTGTTAAGAACTAAATAATTCTAGTTGATCAAATAGAGTTTGACAGAAAGAAATCGTTTTATCGAAGCTGTTAAAACAAGTTCACTGATATTATTTAATTTCTTGGTTCGAACTTTATCCATGTCCCACCCTGCGCCTTGATGTTGAAGTCTACTGCCTGAAGCTTTATGGGTTCCGCAGTTTTCTCACATTTCAAAATCTTGAAATTTGAAATTAACTCCAATAGCAAAATTTTCAACTCCAGAAGCGCGAACCTCATGCCTGTTGACAAAAGATTAACTCATTTTAGTTACAACATATTTTATATTTCTTTCAAGAAATAACCATGATTCAGTTTGAATTACTAAGACAAAAACGCCTGGTATAAAGTTTTTCTGTGACTGTCTGTTGTGTGTTGTAGACAATAGTTAGTAGTAATTTGAAACAGGATAGTTCTTAGCTAACACATCTAGGAAAACGTAGTGTTAGTTAGGTAGTTATTATTCGTTAGTAGTTGAATGAAAAAAGCGTGAGTTTGTGCTCTTTGACATTTTGCACTGGACTCTGATATATTTTATGACTATAGGTCTACTTACCAATACAAGCTCTAGGGCCTAATCCAAAGGGATTAAAGGTAAAAGGCTTTATATTCTGTTTGTTATCCTCAAAGAATCTGTCGGGGTTAAACACCTCAGGGTCAGGGAAATACTCGGGGTCCATTTGGATAGCGTTGACTACGTTGTAGACTATGTCACCAGGGTTCAGCTGTAGAAAAAATTGGTTAAAATTAAGCTGTGTACTTGCCTACGCTACCCATCTGGCCAGTGTGGCGAGTGTAGACCAAATTCTCTATTTCATCATCATCATCTCAGCCATAGGACGTCCACTGCTGAACATAGGGCTGTCCCAATGCTTTCCATGTTGCCCGGTTGGTAGCGGCCTGCGTCCAGAGCCTTCCTGCTACCTTCATGACCCTCTATTTCATCATCATCATCATCATTTCAGCCACAGGACGTCCACTGCTGAACATAGGCCTCCCCCAATGACTACCACATCGCACGGTTGGTAGCGGCCTGCATCCAGCGCCTTCTTTCTACCTTCTGGAATTCAGGTTCTGGAATGGAGGCCACGTACCGGAAAACGCAGCGTGGGACGTCCACCCACAAGGTGGACCGACGACCTGATCCTCTATTTGCTTCTTATAATTTAGAGAAGGTCACTCTCTTGTATGGAGACTTAATGACCCTAGTAGCGTTTCAGTGACAGTCCGCAGAAGTATCATTGTAATACAAACAAACAAGAATAGTTTTTTTAATAAAATATTCGACAGCCGCTGTCCGTTACTCACGATTTTTTTAAACCGTTTAACATGGGCGCAACATCATGTCTCGAATAACTTACCCTGTAGGGTTTACCCCCATCATGTGCTGGGGGCAGATCATACGTTTTATTGCACACTCTGTCCATTACTATGGCGACTGACCATTTTCTGAACGTTTCTGCAACAAAAGATAATAATCAGCACCAATTAAGTTTCATATAATGTGACATGATATTTTATGTCCAATCTAACTTCGATCCAAATGCTTCAAAATACTTTCTGGAGTTTGGAGTTTTCGTAGAACTAGCTGTCTTAGTTTAAGCACTAGATCTGATTTCCATCATCCGATCTTTAGTTATCTATCTAGATCGGGATTTTTTCGGATTCAGATCGGGCGTAGAGCGAACCCGCTCTAACACGTACCATTCAAAACACAGTCCATATACTTCAGCTCCTTAACGTTCTCGAAGCTTAATTTGTGGTTTTCCATGAACTCTTTGACCTCCTGGTACAGTTTCTCTTGGATATCAGGATGAATGGCCAGCTCGTGGAGACACATGGTCATGGTTGATGCAGAGGTCTCGAAGCTACCCACGAAGAAGGTTAGCGCTTGACTTGCCAGCTGGACCAGCGTCCATTCTAGACATAAAATTGTAAACTAAAGTTTTTAAGTAATCATAATAAGTTAGGCCCAGAACACACCGTGAAACGCAACTGCAACGAAACTGCAACTTGAAACCGATTTGAACTGGTCAAACTGGTCGCGTCATGTGTGGTCTCTCAACGGACGCTATGGCAGAAACTTAGATGCAATGCAACTCAAAAGTAACTAGAAGTTGCAGTTTCGTTGCCGTTGCGTTTCACCGTGTGTTCTGGGCCTTACTCTCACTTATTCATATCAATAAAATTGTCTTCCATCGAATGCTATGTACGTTTAGCATGCTGTTAGCTTGTGCAATCTACCAATTTACGTAACATGCAGTATGTTAACGTAATGTGAAAAGTACCAACCTCTACCACGAGCATCATGATCGTCATTTTCCGCATTGCTAGTACCTGCATATTGTGCAATGTTTAATCAATGGAAAATAAAATCTTACCTAACCTAACCTCTGAACCTATTCTTCAAACCTATTTTGACATAAATTTATAAGAAACTAATTTCTAAATCCTAATTTGACTAATTTTAAAAGTAGGTAAATAAAAACGAAACTACTGGACCAATTTGAAAAATTATTTCACCATAATAAAATAATAGCCTTGATGAACATAGGTTTTTTATTCCTTGTCCGTAAGTTATACCTCCTATCACACATTCATTATTTGAGTTGTATCTACTAAGTTCGCCGAGCCAACTATGCTTAATTTTCACTAATTTTAAGGCTACCTAGGTCATTGTAATGATCTTGAAAATATGTACATACATACATACCTACACTTGGTCGAAAATGAACAACCAATTATATTCTAAATACCTTTGGAAGCTTCCATCAACAGCTGGATCATATCAGGGCGCGTCACGTTGTTCTTCTTTCTGAACTCCATAGTACTGGATACTAAATTCATGTAGAATTTCGTTACTTTCGTATGCGACACGGTAAATCTTAGTTTCTGAAAGTTATTAACGGGTTATATTATTACTTCACTGGCATTGTTTTTAGAAGTGATAGCAAGCAGTTATCGAATTGTGTTACTTCACTGGCATTGTTTTTAGAAGTGATAGCAACCTTATCGAAATTGTGGGTCAGTTCTCCAATGTAAAAAAAAATGTTTATTTACACTATATTCATTGATAACAGCTTCTTAGAAATTGTAAGATTTATTATTCTGCGTTTATCAGTGTTTTTACTCAATATTATACAAACAAAAGGGTCAATTGATAAGTGATTCTAAGAAAATAATCCAGATTTATTATTTCATAAGTTGCTCGTACAAGGAAAAGTCGAAGGAACCAGATCGCGTGGCCGATCCAATGCGCTGGACCGACCAAGTGAAATGTGGGAGACGTATGTGACTGCACCAGACAGTCTGCCAACAGAGAGAGATGGCGGGAGGTCGTGCGGAGAGTTGTATCCGCCTCTACAACCGATGTGAACAACAGCTCAACATCACCACGACCGCTCTGCCAAGAGCGTAACGAATAAGAAGAAGAAGTTGCTCGTAAGTATAAAGAAAGCCAAGCATCAAGGTTACCTTAGTCAGACCAGGGAATTGACTGCAGAAGAACTGGTATACCCTTTGCAGGGTGCTGAACTTGAAAAGACCTTGCCCCATAGTCAAGAATTCGTTGTCTCTGTCCTTCAATGAGTTCACTTCCAACCCAAAGGCGGTAGAGGCGGCGATGTCAGTGGTGAAGCGGTGCATGACGTCATCAACGTCTACGTCTTTTCCATTTTGATCTAAAATAAAAGCAATCATTGCTGTAACAAATAACGTTCTTGGTCTAGTGGCGAGAAATTTGGATTTTCTTGATTTGTTTCCGAGATGAGACACATAACAAAACACATAATCTACATTAAAGATAATAAATAAATATACCTACTAAGTAAAGCTTTTATGAAACATTTCCAGATTCTGGTACATTGCTCTTCAAATACCAGAGGTGGAATTGTGTAAAGCAATCGTAATCATTTGACAGTTCATAACGTACGATAATGTCAGTTAAACAAAGCGTTTGACATTTGACAGAATAATCGTACGTTATGAACTGTCAAATGATAACGATTGCTTTACACAATTCCACCTCAAGCTTTCTTGTTGAATATTGCCATTAAAAATCACTACATAATAAAACAAAGTGGTTTTCCTCCCTGTCTGTCCCTATGTATACTTAGATTTTTAAAACTACGCAACGGATTTGAGGCGGTTTTTTTTTCAATAGATGAGTGATTCAAGAGAAAGGTTTTTAAGTAACATACCTGTGCGAAGCAGGGGCGGGTCGCTAGTGGTAGAAAAAACTAAATAAACTGGTGTATTTTATCACAAGGATATACATAGTCAAGTACATCTACTCGTAGTTAATCCGAACCCACCCCATTGGTAGTTTCAGAGAGGGCGTGATCATGCGAAAAGAAGACGTACCTTTGAGATAGTCCACGATGTTCTTACTGATTACTTGCATGAATGGCATCATCTGCCTCAGTTTGGAGCCGGTGAAGGCTGGACTCAGCGTGGTTCTCATTTCTCGCCACTTGTTACCTGGAAATATAGGATTCGAGATTCAAGACTCCGGTTATTATGGTTGACAAGTCCTGTACTCATGTTCTCCAAAAAACTAATACTTTAAGCCGGGAACTGCTCTTCCTACTGAGTTACTTAGACACTGGATAAACCCGTCGAAATTTTCAAGTGTAAGGCTGGTTTTAGAATCGCGCTTACTGCTCGCTGATCGTCGGCGCTGACAAATCAAAATGTATGTAATTGAAGGGAACGTTCCTGAGTGACGCTGATCGCTCGGCGCCGACGCATACATTTCGGCTATCAGCGCTGACGGTCAGCGTGCGTCAGCGTGATTCTAAAACCAGCCTAATACGCTGTTACGGCCGCGTTCGCCGCGGGTTCAAACCCGCCTTAGGCAGTTCGATTTTTTCAAGTTGTTTATTTAAAATTTAGTTTGAGAAGCGACTCTAATCGCTAAGAAATTTTAATTACGAAAAAACTAATAGTTTACCTTTCATCATAATCAAACTTTCTCCGAACAAGGGTTCCATCTCCTCGCTGAAGAATTCCTTGTGATCGGGGAAGTGGTCGAAGTCTTTGATGGTGATCGTCTTCATCAGCTCTGGATCACGCATCAGGATTACGGGAGTAATACCCTCGATGTAGCCCACATACCTAAGACAAGAATAAGAAATTAAGCGTTTTACACAAGTGCTTATCAAAATGGCCGCTGGGGCAGGAAAGTTCTTGAGTGGCGACCACGAGCCGGAAGACGTAGCATGGGTAGGCCTCCCATTAGGTGGACCGACGATCTGGTGAAGGTCGCGGGATGTGCCTGGATGCGAGCGGCGCAGGACCGGTCTTTGTGGAAATCCTTGGGGTAGGCCTTTGTCCAGCAGTGGACGTCTTTCGGCTGAAACGAACGAACTTATCAAAATAGTTAATGGTTATTTTCACGAAATGGTTATGGTCACAAACGATGCTTGTTTAAGTGAAGCAGCAAATCTAACGCACAGCGTTGAATAGAGCTCTGTGATTGGTTCGTGTGTCATCCTGTGCAGTGAGACCTCATAGAAATTTTTATGAATACGGTCATATATCTTGTCTTAACGGTTACTTCAAACTTTGTTTGATACCTGTCATCCGCTTTGCAACGGAGGGAAGTCAACCGTTAGCTTGGAACTCACGCTCATACACATGTTCTTTTGATTAAATTTGTTGCAGATCCAATGAAAGTTTAACTTTCTCCCAATGCAAACTTGGTCTTCATGTCTTTTTGAGTTTTATTGGCGATTGAGTTATAGATCCTAGCTTCCCTTTCATCATCATCAGATCTTCTAATTTCCACTGCTGGACCATGTCATTTACCAGGGGCAAATGTAGGAGACAGGCTACACCCCAGCCGCTGGCCAGACGAGTTGGAGAGACCTAATATTTGCATTTATTTTCCTTTTGTGTAGGTGATCACATGTATGGGATAGGTTGAATATTAACTAAACTCGAATGATACGGCATAACAGAAGAATCCGTAATGGTGTTGACTTTATCCCGACCTTGCCAAATTGTCGTCGCAATTGAAAAGTATACGACATTTTGGAGGTCACATTAGGCACAATGGAGACAATAAGCACCTGATACATTACAAAAATACACATATGTATGGCTATCTCAATGTGATGTTTTAATTTCTGGTGAAGGTATTATTCAATAAAGCTGTTTCCCGCGGCTTCACCCGCGTGAAATTCAGTTAGTCACAGATCGTCGAAATTATAGCCTATATTATGTTATTCTGGGTTTTAAAAAATATTACTGTAAAGTTTCATCAAAATCCGTTCAGAACTTTTTGCGTGAAAGAGTAACAAACATCCAGACGTCCAGACATCCAAACTTTCGCATTATAATATTAGTAGGATAATAGATTAAATAATTATTAAAACAACACCATTGTATATTGTACAGTCACCTTGGGTAACTTTAAACAGCAAAAAAATCATTCATTAGATCATTAATTTTTTACCATTCAAAACGTAAATACAAAGTTACTTAAGGAACAAAAACACTGCGCAATTTGGCGTCACAAAAAGAAGAACAGTTACAAATTACGGCTTAAAACATGTTTATCTCGAATGCCTATACTCTTGCACACAATATTAATCAGAAATATAAGGTCATGGGTTAATAAAAGAATCCGTTTGGCTCCTATACCTCTAACTTTTCCACCGGAGGTTAAATCAACAATTACCACATACCTTTCTCCAGGAAAAGCTTTATATACCGCATACAGGTCATCAATAAGATGCTTCCTCAACACTATACTATTGAACGCATTCCCAAAAAAGGGGACACCGGGCAAGAACTTCACATCTCTCTCCTTAAAATGGTTGTGAATCTTCTTATAAACATATAAATAGTACCCGATTAGGGTTGTTATAATAAATATCAATATTTCGGTTATCATGACGAGCGGGTTAGTTCGCAAGCTGCAGAACACTGTATGGACAGTGCACGCACAGCGAAACAGGTATAGACTAGGGAGGGGGCAAGGTTATCGATATTAATACCTACATAATTTTCTTTTTATAAGCGAGAAGAATGAGATTATCTACAGTGTTTAGAAAATGATGTGAGTGACGTACATATAGACCAGATAAAACAAAAGACAAGCTGTGCATAACAAATCAGTAGCATATGCATGCATATTAAAAGTTTTTTTTAGGGTTCCGTAGTCCTGACAAGGAACCCTTATAGTTTCGTTATGTCCGTCTGTCTGTCTTGCGAAGTTTTGCTTGGAAAATATTGATATTAGAGAGTTGTAATTTTGTGGAGGTATGTATGTAATATTATGTATGTCGCAGTAAGATATTACAGACAGTTTATATTAATCACGCCGACAAAACGGTAGAATGAAAATTTAGAAAAAAAATTTTTTTAGGGTAGCTCCCCTACAAAAGTGGGGATGATATTTTTTTTTATCTTCTACCCCATCGTGTGAGGTATCGTTGGATTATATTTCGATTTAGGGATCCGTTTGCAAAATGTTAAAGTTAAAAGTGCCAATTATTGTTCCAGTAGGGCGTCCCCCCTTCTAAAAACGAAACTGTTGGCTTGAAAAATCTGAAAAATATCGTGATTATAGTGCTTTTTATGAACTTTCAAGGAAAACTATACTGGTTAAGATAGATCAGTTAGTTTAATGCCCGTTTTCACCATCAACCCCTAATTTTTAAGTGACCCCTATGGTAACACACAACAGGCATTTTGTTTTCATAGGGGTCACTTAAAAATTAGGGGTTGATGATGAAAACGGGCATAAGAGTAATAGTAGTTTTACTCATGTAAAATATTAAAAGTGACTTTAGATGAAGTAATTGATTACTTCTGAAGTATATTGTGGTAACGAAGGACAACTACGGAACCCTACACTGCGCAAGGTACGACACGCACTTGGCAGGTTTTTTTTATGCATAACAAGGCAGGTATTTGTCCACAATCGCACCTGGTGTTAAGTGGATGCAGTCTAGGATATTCAGTATTTGTCACAGTCTTACTGCATAGAATGTTAATTTCGGTTTTCTCTCGTTTTTTTTAATAGACGCACGCTGGTAGCTAGAATAGCTTTTCCAGCTTCACTGGGAAGAGTGGCGAGTACAGAAGGTACTCTAGCGATTTCTCTCTCACGTCCTAAGGGACGTGCACGTCGTGCATCCGGTCGTGCTAAGGCACGACACAATAACTTTAAAAAAATTGTGAAGTAATATTGCCAATCTTTTGCGTATTCGAATCGCCATCAAAAGATTTAGTACGAAAACTACAACAGCGGCCTTGTGAACGTGTCGATTAGTGAACTTAGTATGCACGAAACTTATTTTGAGAATCAAAATTGTCACGTTATCGTTAATTCGAAGGTTGAGTATCGAATTTTGTCGAATACGCAAACGATTCGAAGGCGAAAGTTGTTCATGCTAGAGGTACAGTAGGAAAAGTAACATAATATCAAACTTACGCAAAACGGATCGTGTACAATTCAAACCCATTGTTATTCTTCATGGCTTAACCCTCAACGACTTGAGACACTTTTCGGCGAGAGGTTGCACTCAACATAATGTCATTTTGCTCTTACCCTCCCCTCGCCTGGGGGTTCATATAATAGGGCCGCTAATGCACAGGCGCTAATTATGTCAAATAATGCCCATTTGTTTGTGTGGTTTAGAGTCAAGTTACAGCCACTAATGGAGAGGCTGCGCGGAAGTTGGGTGACATAGCGATGTGCCTTTTAAAAACAATTGAATTATTCGACTTTTAAAAAAAATTGCAATACGACCTGCTATTGGTAACTATAGTTATATTATGTGTTATAGAATGTTGTTTGTTTTCCTAAATAAATAAATAAATATAGCGGCCTGCATCCAGCGCCTTCTTGCTACTATTATGAGGTCGTCGGTCTACCTTGTGGGTGGACGTCTCACGCCGCGTTTTCCTCAGTTCACGCACGCTATGTTCAGTAGTGGACGTTCTGTGGCTAAAATGATGATGATTAATGTTATTTATTTTTGCATCGATATTTTAAAACTATAAAACGTATGCCGCACTATTCAAAACATTTAAACACACAGCTCTAGGTCTTCATCGCAATACATTTAAATTGCTGCTAAATTGCTCTAGACCGAGGCCTCAACGAAGTGGGGTGGCCTAATTCAGACAATGATAGCCATTATTAATATGTTTGTGATTTATTCTGTATTCGTTGTATCGCATTGTATTGAAATGATATTACCGATTATTTTAATTACAATTCAAATGAAAATTCATTCGATAATCCATTTCCCATCACTAGTTTAGGTAGAGGTGTTTAATTTGGGTTCTTAGCGTTCCATTTTAATGTAACCGAGGAAGATCGTAACGACAGAAAATTAAATTAATTTTTAAATACTCATCAGATTCTTATTATAAATGTGTGAAATTATGACGGAAGATTTTAAGGAAAATTTTAGTGTAAAAATACTTTTTCCTTAAATTTTAGGTGGAGGACAGTAAATGCTTGATGACTGATCCATCCGTTGTTTATTTTCATTTCTTTGTTTTAAGAATTTAAGCGATAACAGCGCAAAGAAATGATGGAACGATTTTTTATAGCTGTAGGTAATAGATATATTTCTAAGAACACACTAAATTGAATAAACAGGTTATAACATCGATCTTGACACAACTCTTTGTTCCACGAAATAAGAGCGACTTCTGCTATTATCTATCTATACTTATAATAAATCTGTAGAGAGGTCAATTCTGTACATGAAATTTATTTTCAAAATAACTATCAGGGGGTGATTAGTGATCGATACTGATGCCAAAAATGCAATCAGTAAAATTTTTGTCTGTCTGTCTGTCTGTCCGTCTGTATGTTCCTTATAGAAACAAAAACTACTCGACGGATTTTAACGAAACTTGGTACTATTATTCTTCATACTCCTGGGCAGGTTATAGAACGGGAGTAAGCGGGAAAAAACATTTGTATGAAAAAATCTAAACCGCGTAAGATAGATGAAGGGGGTAAAACGGGATCCACGCGTACGAAGTCGCGGGCGGCCGCTAGTACATAATAATGCATCTTCAAAATCAAAATCAAAAATATTTTATTCAATTTTAACCAATATTTTGGCTCTGTCGATTGTTAACTTCAAGTATACGAATAAGAGGAAAGATTTTGTAAGTTAGGAATATTATGCTCTAAAACTACGAAAGACTCGACGTTCGCAAACCGGTTCGGTATGCATTGTCGTTGTGTGGGTAAATAATACGCAAAAAACAAAGCCCTGTCCGTGGTCCGCCACGCCATATCTACCCGTGCGAAACCGGGGCGAGCCGGTAGCTGTACATAATTTTGGGTCATAAAGGCATTAGTTGTCTACATTGCAACNCGAAATGACCGACTTCGTCATGATTAGCCCTTAATAATTGCCAACGTACTCCTCTCGGTACAACCCATCTCAATTCGCCATCCCCTAGGATTTTAAATACACGTCCATTTTTAATTGTGTACTCTTTATAGGTATCTGCAATTTTGGCCGTTTCGGGATCCACTAAAACGTCCCTAATTCGTCTAATTTCATCATCAGACGATTGTACCGTGGTAATCCAGTCCTCCGTCCCAACAGATAAGATGTCAAGTGTATGAATCTGATCTGCAGAAGACGGTGTGATAGGTCCACGGCTGAGGGCGTCCACGTGAGACATCCTTTCTCCAGGACGATATTCTATGTCACAATTGTACTCTAAGAATTGTATCCACCAACGGGAGATTCTTGGGACAAGGTCTCTTTTGGTAAAGGTGGAGCGTAGAGCATTGCAATCTGTGACTATGGTGAATTTGATTCCAATGAGGTACGTACGAAATTTATTCAGAGAACTGACGACCGCGAGTGTCTCCAGTTCGAAGGAATGTAATTTCATTTCGTCAACCGAGGTCTGGCGGCTAAAATATGCCACTGGCCTCCATGGTTCGGAATCTTTTCTCTGGAGTAAGATACCAGCAACCCCAAATTTACTGGCGTCCGTATGCAGTTGTGTGTCCGCGGTAGGGTCGTAAATTGCGAGAAGTGGTCTTGCAACCAGTAACTTTTTGATTTCCTCAAAGGCACCAGCCTCAGCATCACTCCATCGCCACGGAACGTCCTTCTTTAGAAGGTTTGTCAGGGGTCTTGCAATCAAAGCGAACCCCTTCACAAACCTTCGAAAGAAGCTAGCGAGACCGAGAAACCTCCTGACTTCATGCTGGTTTTGAGGGGTAGGAAACCCTGACACAGCTTCAGTCTTTTGGACACCTGGCTTAATACCATCCTTACCTACCTCAAAGCCCAGGAAGTCGATTTTCTCTTGGAAAAAGTTACATTTTTCCATCTTAAGAGTAAGGCCAGCCTCACGTATGAGGTTGAGTACCTCTTCCAAGCGAGCTAATCCCTCCTCGTAGGTTTTGGATGGTATCAATATATCGTCCATATAAATAACGACATATCCTACCTTTGCCTTGCTCAAAATTTTATGTATGGCCCTCTGGAATACGGCTGGGGCATTCGCCAGCCCGAAGGGCACACGATTATACTCGTATTGCCCATCGGGCGTAACGAATGCGGTCTTATCTCGCGAGTTCTCCGCTATAGGGATCTGGTGATATCCAGAGGCCAAGTCAAGAGTGGTAAATAAGGACTGACCTGACAACTGGTCCAGTAGATCCTCTATTCTTGGCAATGGATATTGATCCCTATTAGTGCGACTATTTAGAGCCCGATAGTCAACGCAAAGTCTCTTCTCTCCAGACTTTTTCTTGACGAGTACGATCGGGCTCGCATACGGCGATGCAGATTCTCGCACTATACCATGTCTGAGCATATCACCTACCATATCTTGTACCAACTTGCGCTCTGAGTGGGGTAGGCGGTACGGCCTATAAACAACTGGTGTGGTATCCTTAAGATGGATCTCCATCTCAGTCACGTCAGTATATCCTAGATCGTGCATCCCGGTCGAG